TTTAGCAACCAACAGCTTTCACAAGTTTTTCTTTATTTTGTATATACAAGACACCATCTAGCTTGGTGACATTGARTTGCCAGGCTGGTCTATAGTAAGGATTTCAGGAGCAGATACATTTTTAACCAAGACAACCAGCAATGTCATCATTCTTCTTGAAAGGCAGCTACTGGAGAGYTTCTTCCAGCACCAAGCATCCCCTCCTCTTCTGAGGCAATGACAGAAGAGATAGGAATTGGTCTTTTCTGCCTTCCTCATAGTCCTGAATTCATAGCTGAGGCCACCAGCATCATCAGTCAAGCACATCTGGACACCACCCCCACCGAGATGCCACGGACAGTCAGCCATCCCAGGAACGTCAGACTGGACCGCTCTGAGCCCACAGGCTGCTGATAAAAGCATGGCTACTCTCAGGGGAGATGGAGTCACCCCACCACGGAACAGCCACCAACATGCTGGGGAGGYTGCCTCTTTGTCCGAGGAACAAAACACTGGGATCACAATAGCTGAAATCGAGCATATCTGGCCAGAGAGAAAAGTGGTGGGGAAGAATGAGAGGTGGCTCTAGCAGGGCTTGTTGGGAAGGRAATGTGAAGGTACATGTAGAAGTGGGGGAAAAAATGTGTAGAAACAACAGAAAGCATAAAGAAATTAGAGCKGAAGAAAGAAAAAGTGAGAATCTGCTCTGAAAAATGATACATCTGAAAAAAATGCAAACCTTTGCCCCAGGAAGAGCACCCAGCGTCAAAAATACTCCATGTACCTCCACACTGTCTCTTTTCCYCTTCTTTCAGTGTTCAAGGGAGCATCTTTAACACACAGCTTTCTTTCTGTGTGTCAGGGGTCTAAACAGCAACACTGTGTCAAGCGTATGTGCACAGAGCACTTGGGGAGATGCTTGAACTACCCCAGGACAAGCAAACAGCACAGACTGTAAAAATAACATGACACCGTGGCTTCAAAAAGAAGCAGACAACTAACTACATATGGTAAGGCCTTGGCTTCCATCTTCTATTTGAAAGCTGGCACCGCAGCCCCAAAGCTCCTTATTTTGGTAATATATGTGAACGCAGTGGGAGAGCAGTACTGGAAGAAAGACTGTCTGGGTCAAATCTAAATCAGTAATAATTCTGAGGAAATGGAAGATCGGGGAAACCAAGGGATACTTTTAAGAAAAGAGGAAGGACACAGCTTCCCCCTCCTCTCATTAGTAACYGAATTATCCAGACACCACCCTGTGAACAAGTTCAGCTCCCCCTTCTCCTGATTTACATCTTCATACTCATGTCTACAGGTCTCTTACTTAGGGGGGTCTTAACACCCTCTCATACAGAAAGAAATAGTTTTCRTAACTCCAGATGTTCCTGGTGCAGGGAGTGGTAATTACCCCAATTCCCCTCTCCCCAGGGAGCACCCTAACTTCCAGATACAGATCTCATCTCCAYACACTCCTGGGATCTGAGCCTTTAACTTAGCAGCAGTGAGCTGTGCTCTGCTTTTCTGTATCAGGCTTTGTGCTGGCATCTAGTCCCGAAATTAAAGGTTTTAAAACTTGTTTTGAACCACAAATTGTAAGAAGATTCAAAGAAATCCACATTCACATGTTGGCAACAGACCTGCAGTTCTTACTTTTGCAGGCCCCTCTGAAATGTTAATGCTGTTCTACACGGACTGAGTATCGCTGGATGTTAATCAAGACATCTCAAACTGCCAAAAAACTCAGGACAGGACAGCATGTGCATGAAACCCAGAGTCGGTGCAGCTGATCCTGACCAGGTGCAAAGCAGCTCTAACCATTCAGGGACACCAACATTTCAGAAATGAAGGCGATTGCAGCATCAAACAATGATATTGGTCTGAGCACAGAGCTTAATCCTCAAAGACCAGGCAGAACTAACTACATAAAAGGGCTTTGTGCCCCAGAATGCCTTTATGTCCTACTGAGTAGGTAAATACTTGTCCAGCTCTCTGCCTCTTTCAGCGATATCRGTAATTAAGTGTCCCACAGACCATGGTGCCTTCAGGCACACAGAAGCCAAAYGCAGCACCAATGCTCACTCAAACAAAGATGGTTTGAAAACCTCACAAAAGTAGGGMAGAGCAATGCTGAACAGCAGTTTGGGGCATTTCAGACTAAAAAGGCATTTTCAGTACTCACAGCTCTTCAACCTCTCAGCAATACAGAGAGTCGCACAGCATGTGTGCAGAGAGCTTAATGCTTTGCTATTGGTCATCTTAAAACCAATTTCCCAGCCACCACCACCATGCCCACAAGCTTCTGATTCTTAAAAAGCTTTATACTAAAAATACCCCACTCAAAAACCTAACTAGGAAAAAATCAGACCAAAAAAAACCCCTCAAATATATCAAAGTCTGCCAGGCAGCTTCTGCTTAAAAGTTSTACTCAACTCAAAAAACACGGCAAACAAATTCCCAAAGCTCCTAAGAGCCTGCAAACAAACCCAGAACCAAGTGAAAGCATTGCAATGCTACAGTATTTCAAAGATGTAGCTGTTTTCAGCAAAGAAATGTTCACACTCCTTCAAGGTCCAGGAAAGAGCACACTGCTCCCAGTATTTYACTACGACTATACTGTTTTACAAAKRACACCCTTATACATATGGATGCACAAAGCCAAGGAGAGCAGCCATACAGATGGGTCTGTAAGTTTTGCCTTGATAATGTGAATTACAACGATTCTTATTAAAAAAGAAGTTGAGATCAAATCTTAGCTTTCCAGGAGTCCTGAATAAAAAATTCCCAATGTACAAACAAAAGAAGATAAAGAGGCCTTAGTAACTACCTCTYCTTATCAGAAAAATTAGATAATGCTTACATGGTATATTTATGTTGATGTCTGAACAYGAAGAAACATTTCAGAGCAGAGAGGCACTCCAGACTGCTGCCACACACGGATGTGCCCGCCAGGTGATCCCTGGTACAGGACTCAGCGTTGTCAACTCCATCTCAGCAGGTGAGAGCTCACACAAGATCCAGCTCTCCAAGCCCTAATACCTTTCCTCCCCTGAATTATGCTGTTACTGATGCTAAACTTAATGCTCAACAGCTGCTYTTGATGAGAAGTTGTGAATGGCTGCAGTGGGGCTTTCTTTAAATTTTACTTGATTTAATGACATGAGAACATAAGTTGTGGTTTCAACTTTCTGCTGGCTGGCTTGTCTTCCAGTTCTAAACAATAACCCTTCCTCCATGTCATGACAGTTTGAATAACTGATTCAACAAAAGAAAAGAAAAGCTTGGCCACAAACGAAAGCRAAGACTAATACTTTATCCCACAGGAACCTCTACGATTCTCAACTGATCATCAATCCACTTACTTTTTTTGACTGGCTGTTACAGTCCTGCAACAGTGCTGGCTGTTGACATACCTAACCCACCCAGCAATTACAGGACAATACTGCCTCGGGGGTTAAGAGGATACACAGTGGATGTGCCCTTGCACATGTGATTTCCCACAGTGCCTCACACTTTTCAAACCAACATCTCCCACCTGGACCCCAAGCTTGTTGTCTGGAAAACTCCACAGTTTGGGCTTGGCAGCATTGGGTTACCAGTTGAACTTGATCTTAAAGGTCTTTTCACAGAATCAGAGGATGGCTTGGGTCAGAAGGGACTTCAAGCTTATCTCAATCCACCCCCACCATGGGCAGGGACACCTTCCATTTGACCACATTGCTCCAAACGCCATCCAACCCGGCCTTGGACACTCCCAGGGACAAGGCAGCCACAGCTTCTCTGGGCAACCTGTGCCAGGGCCTCATTAGCCTGAAAGGGAAGAATTTCTTCCTAGTATTTTTCCAACCCAAATGACTCTATGATTCCCAGTGTACTGGGTGGGACATGATCACTGCAAACCACTCCACTGCAAGCTGCCTCTGGCAGCGTGGTCTCTCCTCTCACAAACCAACAGCATTCCAACACAGACTGCAGCAACCCCTGCAACATTCACTGGAGAATGCTGAAAATCAAGTTTACCAAGCACCGTTGAGTAGATGTAAGTAAACCATCAACTGAGGGGTGAAGAACCAGCACAGGGCCAGACTACTGGCTGAGGACATCACAACACAAACGGGGGGGCGCAACCAGCATTGATTTAGACCTCGTGAACATGGCTGGGGACCTGTASAGTGGGGATTCACTGACACTCCCCAAACACGGACCACCTGGGGCCTAGTTACTGACACTCACCCAGGCAAGACCCTGGCAGTGCCTGATGTGAGGGCAGTGTGTCAGCCCAGAATCACAGAATGGGGCAAGCTGGAAARGGACCACAGTGCGTCATCGGGTCCCACCTCCCTGCTCAAGCAGGGTCATCCCAGAGCACAYGGCACAGGAYTGTGTCCAGACMGGTCTGGAATATCCCCRGTGAGAGAGACTCCACRCCCTCTCTGGTCTCTGTTCCAGTGCTTGGTCACTGCACAGGAAAGAAATTCTTCCTTATGTTCAGGTGGAACTTCCTGCACATTGGTTCCTGYCTGTGGCCTCTTGTCCCATTGCTGGGCCCCAGGGAGCAGAGCCTGGTCCAACCTCTGACCTCTGCCTGCAGACAGGGATGATGTTCCCGCTCAGCCATCTCCTCTCTAAGCTGAACAGTCCCACCTCCCTCAGCCTTCCCTTGGTGAGAGAGATGCTCCAGTCTCTCCATTGTCTCCAAAGTCTCCTCTGGACCCGCTCCAGGAGCTCCACATCTCTCTTTTCCTGAGGAGCTCAGACCTGGACACATCAGCGTTCCTGATGTGCCTCACTAGGCCTGAGAACACGGGCAGGACCAGCCCTGGAAGAGCTGACAATGTTCTTCCCAGTGCACCCGAGRAAACCACTGGGCCCAAAGCTGCTAGCTCATGGACAGGTCATTGTCTACCAGGATCCCCAGGTCCTTCGCCGCAGAGCTGCTCTCCAGCAGGTCACCCCAGCCCGGGCTTGTGCCCGGGGTTACTCTTCCCTTGTGCCCTCGCCCCCTTCCCGCTCCCCGTCCTTACCCAGGTGCAGGGTGAGGTTCACGGCGGTGGGGTGCTGCACACCGGCCAGCATGGTGCGGCTCTGCCACCAGGTCGCGTCGGCCGGACTGTTGTAGTCGGTGAGGAAGGCGGCACCATGGCTCAGGTGCGGCTGGGCGGCGTCGCAGAGGTGGCAGGACTGCGTGACGCCGGTGACGCCCGTCTGCACGCAATACTCCTCGGCCGGCGTCCCGCACGTGTGCGTGGCCAGCACCGTGGCGTTGAACGCCGCGTTCACGAACTCGGGCATACAGCGCTGCGCCCGCCCGCTCCGTTCCTCCGCGCACTCGTCCATGGCGCCGCCACACCGCGCAGGCACCCACAGCCACAGCACCCACAGCCACAGCGCCCGGCGCTCGCCGCTGCCCCCCATGGCGGGGCTGCGGGAGCCGGCGGGGGCGCGGAGGGGTTGGCTCGCTCGCCGGGTGCCACCGCTCCGCGCCGGCCGCGGGCTGGGACGGGCGAGGCCCGGCGAGGCGAGGCGGGGCGGGCGCGGAGCAGGCCGGGAGCGGAGTCCGGCGGCGGAGCGGGGCCGGAGCCGCCCCCTCGCGGAATGCGCCAGCTTAAAGCGGCGATGGTGGCGGTGGGCCCTCCCGTGGGGATCGGGAGGTTTCTTACCCTCGTCCTCACGGCAGCGCGGGAATCGCCACGGGAGTGACCGCGACAGAGCGCCGGGCCTGTCAGAGCCCCCGCACCAACATAACCCACAAAGCTGCCCTTTTCGCACAATCACAGAATCGTTCCGGTTGGAAAAGACCTCCAGGATCATCGAGTGCAACCTTTCACCGATGCCTGCCTTGTCAACTAGACCAGAGCCCTGAATGCCGGGTCGCGTCGTTCCTCGGACACCTCCAGGGATGGGGCCTCCAATACGTCCCTGGGCAGCCCCTCCCGGTGTCTAATCACCCTTTMTGTGAAGAAATTATTCCTAATGTGCAACCYGCGCCTTCCCTGCTCAGTTTAGGATTATGTCCTCTTGTCCTGTCTCTTTTTTATCGGATTAAGACGCCGACCCTCTCCCCCCCGGCTGCCCCCTCCTGTCAGGGAGTTGTGCAGAGCCACAAGCTTCCACCGGAGCCTCCTTTACTCCTGGCTGAGCCCCTTTCCCAGCTCCCTCCACGGCTCCTGGTGCTCCAAACCCTTCCTCTGATCTGTCCTTCTCTAGACACACTCCAACCCCTCAATGACGTTCCCGAACTGAGGGGCCCAGAACTGGACACAGCACTCAAGGTACCTCAACAATGCCGATTATAGGGGAAGAATCACTTCCCTGGTTCTGCTGGCACACTATTTCTAATTCCAGGTGCCGTTGGCCTTCTTGCCCACCTAGGCACATGCTGGCTCATGTTCAGCCAGCTGTCAACCACCACCCCCCCCCGATCCCTTTTTTTCATTTCGATGCTCTTCATAGGGGAAAGAAAAGTTTCTCGGGAAACGTGAGAAGATTGGTTGCAGGTTGCCACCTGGTCTGTGCCAAACCTGGATGGTTTGTGCCATCCAAGGGCATGATCTGAAGCAGAACTGAGGGAACCCACCTCAGCAGCTGTAATTTTTAAAAAAACTTGGTTATTTCCCCACCTTTACCCAGATCTCTCTGTTGCTGAGAGACATTGGCTCTGTTAGACTTGGCCACAGACTGCATTACAGCTTTTAGCTATTGTAAGATCTCTCCACGGCTTTTCAGGTTGAGGAACTGTGTAAAGATTGTGCAAAATCCAGAAATCCTGTAAAGCCAAAATGTCTCTGCCCAAGGCAAGAGGTTAGACTTGATGACCCTTAAAAGGTCTCTTCCGACCCAAACCATTCTAAGAATCTGTAAAACTGCTTTTACAGGAGAAAGTGCCTCCAGAAGCCTGCTCAGTAAACAGGAAACTACTCCTCAAGACAAAATTGATAGGGGAGTCAAGGAAAGGCTTTGTAAGCATGGCTTCATCTTGAGAAAGACTGAATGCAACCTGTGGCTAAAAGAACTGAAAACACAAAGTCTATACTGGGAAAAAATGCACATTGTTGTTTAAAGTAATGTGTATCCTACCGAAGTCCTTGCATTAAGAGCTTAAGCTGGACTGTTCACAAGGTCTGAGCAACACATACTGGTCAGCAAGCCTGGAAATGATCTCGCTGCCGGGAGATGGTTTTRTTACACGTGGTGCTACACATCAGTGTGGTGATTACTCTGTTTGCCTCCCTGCAGAGCGTTAACTTGGCCGATGTGAGAACATCAGTGCCCAGGGTTCCCTGGGCACCCCCAGCGCCAGCAGAAGGGATGTGGGGCAGTACAGTCACCTCTGCCTCGCTATTGTTCAGGCTGGAACAACACATCTCCAGTGGAAAGTTGGATTTCCGCCGCATCCCCCACTTTTCCTCTCTTTCTGAAAACAAGCCGTCTGTTGTGAAAGCAGCGCTGAGCTGATGCCATCAAGGCAGAAGCCCTGAAAACAACGCACTGATGGAGCTCAGGTTCAGCAACAGCCTGGCTGGTGCCTGCAGCTGAGAGGGGACACAGCAGGACAGGCATCGAGGAAGGTACGTGAAGCAGCTCAGTGTGAAGAAGGGAAGGATTAGGGTAGAGGAGAGAAGATGGCAGGATCAAAGGGTGTTGCCACAAATCCCTATCAGTGGCACAATGAGATCATCTGTCCACAAGTGGGAGGTTCCCATAGATAACGGAAAAAATTCAGCTTCACAAAACATCCTTGGGTTTAAAGATAATCAGTCTTAGTACCCAAACCAAATAATTTACTTGAGTTTTTTAACTACTCAGTTTTCARCATTTTAAAGTACCCTATGTAGGACCATGCTCCATAGTTTATGTGAAGTACTGCCTGACATTTCCATGGTACTGATTCTAATAAATGCTGGCAAAGAGATATTTGCAGATATTTACTATTTGCCATCAAAACCCACTTTATACTCTTAATGCAATTTCACCTTAACATACATGTTTAAAACTCTCTGACAGATCGAATGATGCATTTATATTTCATTCAGTAAACCTACACTAATTTAACTGAAACCAGAATTAAATCTTATATCCCTGTGAAGATATGATTCGTGCTTTCCTCTTCATATCTTACCTACTGAAATAATCTATCAGAGCATTGCAGCGTATTCCCCTTAAACCCATTTTTTTTCCCAATACAGAAAAAAAAGCAACCTCGTGTAAAATGACTGTGTCTTAAAACACAGAACCTGGAGACCTTCTGTGATTTTGCAATGCTTACGCAGTGAATAATAAAAATACATTTTAAAATAAATTGTTAAAACTGGCAACACCCCTGATGCTGAGTGAGTAATCTTGTGAGGCAGAAGTGGCCTGGAAGGAAGGACTGACTGTTAGATAGGATGGACACTTACTGTTAACCAGCTGTACAATAAGAGTATTTGTGGAGAAGGTTCATGACACTGCTGGGCTCAGTCATAGATGTTGACTGTAAATTAATAGTTACTGTAAGTTAGCTGTCAAAATGGGTATGTTCTTACTTCAGCTCTTTTTTGACAAACACAGATCAGGTTAAATGATTAGGAACAAGTGGRGAGAGACTAAGAACAAAGAGAAGAATTGCAAAAAAGGAAAAGCAACATAAAAACTTGATAGGAAACAGCTTTTATAAAAGCAACTCTAACAGGAAATTCTGTCAGCTCTCAGAAGGCCAGAACTCCCAAGGCTGGCAGCCTTGCTCTTAGAATAGACCCCTTTTAGGGAAAAAGGAAAAAAAAAAAAAAAAAAAAAAAAAAAAAAAAAAAAA